AGTGGAGGAAGCGGGAAAAGTAAGAAAGAGACATGAGAAAATTATTCCTTCCAGCAGGCAGGGGTAAAAGGGAAGGGGAAAGAGATCAACCAGCTCGCTCAGCCGGGCGGACAAGGTCCCTCCCACCCTGCCGGTTAGGAGGCGGCGGCGGCGGCACCCATCGCAGCAGGCATCACCATCGCTTTGGTTCCGGCAAACCGGCTGGCAAATCGCTCCCGGTTCCGGTTGCTTACCCGACATTACGGGTGCGTGGCGTGGCGAGGCCCGGCGGGCTTCTTAGCCAGAGACACCCGGGTGGCGTGGCGGGCGGGCGCCCCCAGACTCCTCCTCTGGCGCGGTCTAACGCTCCACGCCACGGCGCGCCACGCAGCAGCAGCCGGCCGCTCCCACCGTTGATATGCGGTTTCTCGACTTGGGACAGCCAACAAACAATCCCTTCGGGTGTAACCGCGCCGCCCCACGCCACCCGCGGCCCGCGCGACAGGACGGACCAACACTGCGGACTGCGGTGGCGCCGCCAGAAGAAGAAGAAGAGGGTGGGCTTTCACTTTCAAAAAGCATCAGTTTTAACACGTGGTCGTTATTGTCGCGGGCCGCAGGCGGGGGATCCGACAATAACAAACACGTCAAGCGAATTGGCGCGACAAGCGAAACCGCATTGGGGACACGACGAAAGGCACTCGGTATCGAACCTGCGGTGGGCTGGGGGGTGTCCTCCTGCGGTCTGGCGCCGCGTATAGTGTCGTCACTATAGAGTGTGTGTAGAGCAGGAGACTCGCGGGCCGCAGAGAGCAAGAGGAGGCGGCAAAAAAGGTGTGGGAGATTCTTTTGGCAAGCAGACAACATGAAACACGAGCTTGAAGAAAATCTATATCGCAATGCAACATCGGCAAGGATATTCAATTCCGTCACGGGAGTCGAATCTGAGCTTCATGCGATACGGTAAAAAAAACAGACAAAAACAAACCAATACAAACCGCGAGTAGTGTGTCTCAAGACTCGGGGTGTGATCCAATAACACCTTTACGAAGCACCTTATTAGGGGATCCACGAGCCCTTAGCCAGTCTCTTGTCACACCGCGGGCTGTGACGGGGGCCCTGTGACAGCGTGCGTGACGTTACGGCGCCCCGCGCGACCCTTTCTCACCCTCCTCTCACGGCAGCGTTGTCGTCGGTGACGCGACGCCTTGCACAGCCGGTCACGACCGCGAGGCCCGCCTCACCCCGCCTGCCTCACCACCTGACCCCGCGAGGGTGTGCGGCGCGAGCTCGCACGTCTCGGCCCGCTCGCCACCGGCTCACCTACATCGAGTGCATCCAGAGCATCGAACGACATTTCTCAGCGCACGCCTCCCCCGGCACCAGACCCGGACAGTCAACTTTAGCTTTTATAGGGACCACTCCTGTAGTTAGTCTTTCTTTTTCAAGTATTTCATGATTTGTTAGAATGGCAGACCTCTCGTTCTGGCAACGAAAAAACACACACACAGAAAAAAACACTAACAGCAACGTAACATTTATGTTGTGCTAAGGGATAAATTCGTTCTGAAATTATAACCCTGAATACGGTGCGATATCATCCAGAAAGTATGCTCTGAGCTTCGTCGGTCGTTTGCCGTTACGAACCTGCCTAGTTCAGCCGCTGCACTGCAAAAAATTAGAGTCTGATACAGAACGATGTACAGCGTTACTGTAGATGCCGCTCTTAGTCACTGCACCTAGGGTACAGAGCGCGTAGTACAGTGTTGCTGTAGCACCGGAAAGCCCAAGATTTACACGGTACAGTGTACGAATACGGCTCCACTGTAGACAGTTTTGTCCGCGCTTTTGCCTTACAGTGGTCCTGTACATTGCTCCCTGCCCTGAATACGGTGCGATATCATCCAGAAAGTATGCTGCGTGCTTGGGTCCGTCGTTTGCCGTTGCAAACCTACCGAGTTCAGCCACTGCCTGCAAGCTCTCAGCTCTCGTAGCGCCTGATAGGTAGGCAACATTTTGTTTGCAGCGCATACGTGTACGGCGGGGTGGCCTACCCCGAGTCTGGCAGGCGCCTAGCTCGTTGTTCACTGAGTGCGTCTGAGAGACACGTACGCACTTTCCGGATGAAACACTATTCATTTTGTCTGCATACTTTGTAGATTCTTAGATTCAAAGCTGCTGCTAATTTCAATGCCACAGCAGCTCCTAAAATGTGAGCACGGCAAAAGCAGTCGTCGGGTGTCGGTGTGAACTATGCAATAACGCAAACAAACTAACACACACACACACATCACAGACTGATTCCCATACGTGCCTTACTACTGCTATGAGGCCATAGCGCCCCGCCTGCGCACTTCACACACACACACACATACACACACACACACATACGGACAAAACCAACATGCAGTGTCAGGGTCGAGCAGCGCGCTGCTCACTGCGCTTTGCATTCAAAGGGGCGATACTCCTCTCGACTCGCCACTCGCACAAGACAGATCTGGCTTTCTCAGAACGGCCCCGCCACGCTCATAACACGCCACCGCTCCCCCGCCCCACCCCCCACCAAGGCCACGCTTCGTGGGAATTGGGCATCATCGCTCCGGTAACGCTCCTGTTCAGAGGCGTCGGCCCCCGCTTCGGTCACAGCACAGTGGCGAGTAGGGTCCGCGAAATAAGAAAGAAACTCGACGACAAGGGTGCGGCAAGTGGTGTGGATAACCAGGATGAAAACGAGCCGCAAAAGAAATGAGATCGAGCAGGCTTCGTCATTGCTCTGCTTAAACAGCATCTATCCATCCATCCATATCGCTCAATCGCGCTGTCCGCGCTCCGCTCCCTATCCACACGTGAAAGACTAGGCAGGAGAGGAAGGGAGAGGGGGGGAGTAAGCAAGGGAGAGGAGGAAGTAAAGGAAAGGTACGGGGAGAAACTCCGCGCCCAGCCGGGTGGGTCCGTTCAATAGCCGGGTGAGTGGGCGGTGCAGCACTGACTGGTGCAGCACACCGGTGCTCGCTCCGGCTCTACGGCGGTGTAGACCGGGCACCCGTGATGCCCCGCGGGGCTGGGCCGGCTGAATAGCATAACACTGCGGGAGTTGGCGGGGCGAGGTGGGGCGTGGCGTGGCGGGCAGCGAAAGGAGAAAGAGGGCAAAGGAGAGATAGGCAGCAGCAGAAGATCTTAAAATGTTTTATATGAGATACGAAAATATCTGGGCATGGGTGAAATCCATTCCGACTCCCACTATTCCGAACTATCGTCGGAAAACGTCAAAATAATTTAAACAAAGTTTTCCGCGATGGTTTAGGGAAGTACTTGAAGTAATACTTTATGCCTCGCTTAGCGTAAAAAATAAAATGATAAAGGTCTCGTAAATGTATTCGGATAGGTGCGCGCCATCTCTTCCCCGTGGTCTTCTGCGCCAAAGACTCGTCGTGGAAAGCGACGCGAGCGGCCGCCAACGCACGGCCAGCGGCAGCGCCGCGCCCCATCAGCTATGCGCCGCCAGCAGCAGGGACCAAGGATGTGGAACATATCTCTTACAGTCAGCCAGCACCACCAGCTTTTCCTTGCCGGGGTGTGGCGGTATGGCGTTGGTGAGGTGTGGTGGGGCGGGGCCGT